AAAAAAAAAAAAAAGGTGCAAGTGTCATTCTTTTGGCTTTTTAAAAAAAGATCAAGATGCAGACACATTACACAAGGTAAGGAAAGAATGGTGGGCAGAGGTCTGCCAGGATTAGAAATATTTCCTGTGTTCCATAAACTTGGCGAGGGTACTGTGAGAAACAGAGATATGACTACAGGCTTTGAGGGATGACTGACTCATCTTCAGACGATTACAGGCAGCAGATTCCATCCATAACAGCGGACTTTCTGCATTCTGGTGCACATATGGCCAAATGTGGTCATCTGCAGCACACAAAGGTAGGGCTCCACCTCCGATTAAAAGCTTGATAAAGAACAACAAGCTTCTCAAACATCAACTCCAAAGTGAGCAGCTCATGATAAAACATTGAGGACTTCAGCAGGAGGATGTGGGGGGCTATATCTTCCCCAGTGTAAACCTTCTGAGGTACAAAGACAAATATCTGCACAGCTGTGTGCTTTTGGACACATTTGTTGGATGTGTACTGGATGCCTTTGCCTCCAATTAAAGGATCCCAGCATCATCGGTTCTGCAGTATAAAACTCTTCAGTAAACAAGGGTCACAGAGTGCAGCTGTGTGCTGTTGTGAAAGACTGGATGTACAATCGAAGGCCGATATGGTCTTGTAAAATCTTCAGGGGTTCTCTCTCGTGTGACCGCGCACCTGTGCTTAGATAGGTCAGAACTATTAAGATGAGAGCTGAGCACTGTTCTTCCAATCCTCATCCCTCTAGGAAGACTGAAAGCTTTGGAAACCAGGCACATGAGTTAATAACAGCGTCTCAATCCTTGTGAACATCAAAAGGTAATGTGCACAGGATACAGGCCAGGAGCATTCAACTTCAGCAGTGCACACACGATTCTGCAGTGTGAGGCAGATTTTAGGGGGTTGTAGTCTTGGATCACTTAGTGCATAAGCTCACGATGGCTGATCAATCACCATTGCAATTAAATATGAGGTCACAGACTAATGGACCCAATAGGAGCACAGAAATTGAAATCCAAAGGTGTTTGTGAGAGAGATGTTCAGAAAAAAATGTATACTTGCAAGGTAACAATATTGATATTTAACATTTCTGTCACATCATTCTTGTCTGATTTCTTTAGGATAGCTTTTTTGGAGTTACATTAACTGTAAAATACATGGTTGATTATTACATTGTCGAAAAATGTAAACTATATCATCGCCCAGTGATTTGTAAACAAGCTCGGATGCACTATATAACCAACTTTTAATGCGAGTATACTTTATGTAATCTATACACTATATAGCAAATCCACACAGCACGAATGTTTATATTGTGGCAAAATGTAAACTGTAGTTTTATGTTTTATACACACACACACACACAGTAACCACATACATACAGTATACATGTAAAGCCATACTACATATCTAATCTAAATTGTTTGATTGTTTTTGTATATTTAAACTATATTATCACCCTGCACTTTATACAAAGTTGGATATAGAAGTATGTTTAACTTTATCCGCATATATACAAGTATACCTGTGTTGGCCAATATATACTACATAGCAAATCACAACTGCTTGATTGCTTGTAGCCCTAATCTGCTTAATGTGTGAGGCATGAGGACTTTAACATCTTGTCAATATTAACATCATGATTTTCTGTAAAGCTGCTTTGAAACGATGCGTATTGTGAAAAGTGCTATACAAACAAATCTGATTTCAGTTGACAAATTGAGACAAAACTCCAATATGTTTTCTGCGGTCAAACAAAACAGAGAAAAACAGGTGGTATTGAAGCGGTTTTCACCTTGGGCAGCATGGGTGTGGCCCGCTTGCTCTTCTTCTCCGAAGGATCGTCCAGCTGGTCGGGCTCAAATGCGTACAGCTCCGTCAGTTCGTTCATGGTAAAATGACGCTCAATCTGCTGCTGGTCCACAACTCTGAAGGACAGCGACTGTTTGGCGATCTGTCGGTCATAGATCTTCTCCTCCATGGTTCCCTATAGAAAGAAACATGTCCAAAAACATTACAGATCTGATCTGCCCTGTCTGTGAATAAACCTGTATATTTCTACATGCAATAAACACAACAAATAAAACTACATTTCTCACCTGAGCCAAAAACCTGTAGACAAACACGGTCTTCACTTGGCCAAAGCGATAGACTCTGAAAATACTCTGAATGTCGTAGGATGGGTTCCATGAGGCGTCGAAAATTATGACCCTGTTTGCAGCTACCAAGTTGATCCCAAGAGAACCAGCTCTGGTTGAGATGAGGAACAATCGCCCCCTGAGGAGGAGAACAAGAACACAAGTGCTTTCATGGAAAAGCGAGAAACGGATCCACTGTTTGACACTCCAGGGCTCCAGACTGCGACCAAATGGTCATATTTTGTGACCATTTTTTCTGCCTGTGCGACAAAATTTTGTGTGCGGTCGCTCATAAGCGCTGCCATTTCTGTTGCATATGCGAAACATCAAACGCATAACGAAACCGAAAGCATAAAGAAACCGCGCTACTCGTTTGAGCCTGGTTTATACTCGGCAAGAGCGCGAAGCTGCGCGCAGCACGAATATCGAGAATATCGAGGAAACGATGGATGGTTTTAATGCTAAAGAAAAGTAAAAGACCGCTTCTTAAGGTGAACATGGTGAACATAGTTTTACTTTTCTTTTTGTTTTCATTTTGAAAAGCTTGTTATCTTTGCTGTTTACCTGATGTTACGCTATGGAGGCTCTCTTTTATTTTATTTTTTTTATTTGATTCCTCAGTGCTTGCTAAACGTTCTGTAATTTATTAGTTGGTATATAATACAGCATGTGGTGTGTGCCATGCCTCATCTTATTCGGTTTTGTTAATAAACGTTTTGTAAGCTAGTTTGTCATTGTAGGCTCTCTTACTGTTTTATGGTTGTTGTGCTTTTTTAATTAAGAATAACAATGAATCCATCTTTTGTTTTAGTCTTAAAAAGTGAAAGGTGTATAGATGTACGTAAGCCAAACAGACAATAATCTTTTCTTGTAAACGTGACAACAAGATCGCGAAATTGAAAGCATCTGAAGCCCGAGGCTTATAACACAGCAAAAGAGGAGCTCCCGTTCACAAAATTCAAATAACAAATAATACTACTGATGAATATCTGGAATCTGAGGGTGCAAAAAAAATCTAAATATTGAGACAATCGCCTTTAAAGCTGTACGAATGAAGTTCTTAGCAATGCATATTACTAATCAAAACTGAAGTTTTGATATATTTATGGTAGGCAATTTACAAAATATCTTCATAGAACATGATCTTTACTTAATATCCTAATGATTTTGGCATAAAAGAAAAATCTATAATTTTGACCCATACAATGTTTTTTTGGCTATTGCTACAAATATACCCCAGCGACTTAAGACTGCTTTTGTGCTCAACCAACTGATAAAGTTAGTCGCAAACGAGCGACCAGTGGGAAGAATGAGTCTGGAGCCCTGCACTCTAAAGGGAAAAGTGCCTTTACCGAACATTACTGGTGTCATTGAAGTCCTCTGCCCATTTCTTCCTGGTCACGGCATTCGTTGAACCATCTAGACGATAGTAGTCAATGTTTCTGAACCACTTGCCCTCACCTGGAGAAAAACATCAGAACAGCCAGTCAACAATCAGTTTCTAGCAAATATTGAATGCAGCTGTCAGCCCTGGTAGGGTTTGCTGTACATGGAGAGCTCAGGGGAAAGCATGTACCCTACATAGGTGGCAAAGCCCAAAGAACTCATGTTCAGCAATTAATATTGTGGCCTCCCACACTCGTGTTCATAACTAACATTTCAATATGTTTCCAATTATTCCTCTGTGATCTCTTCATTACAAATTGCAAAGCCTTAAGCTAACATTTTTTTGCAAAATAAAAAAGGCCTAATCATTTTCAAAACGAAAGTAAAAACAGCTGCGAGGGTTTAATTAGGACCGTGACCTTATTCCAGAGGCTTTATGTTTACATGCGCATACTTGTGTGTTTCTGCGGGCACTTAACCAAGATCTGTGTCAGATGTGTGCGCAAATATCAGATGAGTTTCCGCATGTAACCACAGTTTGCACTCACCGGATCAGTGCTCGCTTATTTGTTGAAATCAATGTTAAATTTACAGCAAATATAATTCAAATAAAAACTACAGGACTGCCCATAAACATTCAACAAAACACTCACAGCATGGGCCACCGTACAAACCATATGAAGTCAAGACAGACAAAAGAGAAAGTCGTATAATACATGGAACAAGTCAATACATTTCAAAAGGTTTTGAACATGTTTTTCTCTTTGGAAGTATGGACTAACTCATTGCGTACAATAAAAACCTACAACAACTAGTGTGAGTTTTGTAGTGCTGTCAAACAATTAATCACGATTAATCGCTTACAAAATAAAAGTTTTTGTTTGCATAATGCATGTGTGTGCTCTGTGTGTGTGTGTATATGTGTATGTGTGTGTGTGTGTCTGTGTGTGTGTGTGTCTGTGTGTGTGTGTCTGTGTGTGTGTCTGTGTCTGTGTGTGTGTCTGTGTCTCTGTGTGTGTGTGTGTGTGTCTCTGTGTGTGTGTGTGT